CATCTACTCCTACCAGCAGTGTATCAGATCCCATATTCCTGCCAGTACACAGCAACAGATAGAGACCAGTCTATCACTTATGGCTATATTTTCTATTTTCCTGATTGCTAATGCAATTATTTTTTCCTGTACCTACTGACAATTTGTATTTCCTATGCCTTTTCAAGCTTTTGGCCCATTTTTGCACTAATCTATGTTGTTGTCTTTGATAACATGAGTCTTTATATATTCTTTATAACTATTATATAGCTATCAATTCTTTGGCAGACTTGAAAATATTCTCTTCCATTAATCCTTTACTTTCTTTGCTGTATACTTTGATAAACATAATATCTTAATTTTAAAGTAAACATCTTTTTTTCATTAACTCAGAAAATCTTAACACCCCCCTGGGTTCCCATCTGTACAAGCATGCCCCCTTTTATTGCGTTTCATTTTATTGTGTTTTGCAGATACTGCATTTTTTACAAATGGAAGGTCTGTGGCAGCCCTAACGCAAGTCGACTAGCACCATTTTTCAATAGAATTTGCTCATTTGGTATGTCTGTGTCACATTTTGGTAATTCTCAATTACCAGTATTTCAAATTTTTCATTATCATTATATTTGTTATAATGATCTGTCATCAGTGATATGACTCTTACTGAAGCTCAGATGATAGCATTTTTTGGCTATAAAATATTTTTAAATTAAGGTATATATGTTGTGTTTTTTTAGATATACACTATTGCACACTTCAGAGCCTACAGTATAGTATAAACATAACTTTTATATGCACTGGGAAACTAAAACATTAATTTGACTCACTTTATTGCAGAGGGCTGGAACTGAACCTGGAGTATCTCTGAGATATGCCTATAATTTATTTAACCACTGCCATCATTGAAAAATTCCAAATCCTAAACAATGCTAAAATTCACTTTGATATAGGTTTAGCAGTACACATGACTGCACCTATTAATCTACTTGGTAGTTCCCATTCTTTTTCCCTTAAAAAAAAATCACATCTCCAAGAAGGAATTATGTTTTACTCTTGTTTCACATAATTTAGGAGGGTGTGAGGATGTTGATTTTTAGCAAATGAAATTAACGACAATAGCCACTTATGGGGCAATTATGGAAAACCCATGGTGTAAGAAAACAAACTCTGCTTGGAAGCGGATGCTCAAGAGCATGCAGGCTCTTACACCATACAGGTGAACAGCCGAAAGTAGAAGCTATCTCTGGTTGTGTGGCTACTTAACAGAGTTCAAACAAACCTGATCACCCCCCATTAAGAAAAAAAGTTAAACAAGTACCTTGTTATTTTAAAGATATATTAACACATAACCTACAAGATTAGTTCTATAAATGACCTGACTTTTAAAATGTGATAAAAACTTTAAAATAGCAAGATAAATAGCATTTAATCGAAGGAAAATTATTATTCTTCAAATAAAAGATTTAATCTTAACTTTGATGACAGTGTCTCATCCCAACATGAGCAGGAAGGATGGAGAGAAGATCTCAAACAATTAAGGGAAAAGGCATGGATACACAGAGATAGGTATCTGACACCACTGAACAGAATTGCTATTTATTGTAGTCTAAAATACACACAGCACTAGAGAACATCCACAAATCCTATCCTGTTCTCTGCTCACAATGAAACACCCATAAATTTGTTTTCCGTATTTCTTTCCTAAGTCACTTACCTGCCCTTTAAATGCATCGATGATAAACTGCAAAGACTGGGGCTGCACACACTCAATGCATTTCTGAACCACGTGATTACCATTCTGGTCTTTCACACACTTCAGGACATGGCCGTCTAGTTCCCGAACCATCTCATTCTATTGGAGACAAGGAAAGAAAGCACCACCAGAATCACAGCGAGCAAACACCTGGGCAATTGCGTTCTCCTTAACAAACGTGAAAGCACTGATCAGGGAATTCATGGTAATGAAAGGGGAACAACTCAGTTATGGCACTGTGACAACATAATGGCAACAAATGACAACAGTTTTTCCACATGTTAACCAATTTCCTGCAAGACTAATCCGTCTAAAAGAAAGTACTATAACCTGCAAAAGACTTCTGGGAGTCTGCAAAAATGTAGAGAAACAGAAAAGAGCTTATATCAAGTACACTGTATTAGAAAATTTCACATACAATTTCATCATGTTTTTATCTTGACAACCTTTTATGGTACATATTATTAACAATAGAGGTTAATCTATAGCTTACTCCAGGCATACCTCTCAGTGCTTAAACATGTTTTGACTCAACAAATTCTTATAATAATCCTATGCACTGGACACTCTTACAGATGAGGTAACCAAGGCACAAATTAAATGACATAATCACAGACCCAGGGCTGCCACGGTTCAAACCCAAGCAATCTGGCTCCTGTGTATGGTAGGTAGAACAGTGGGTCAGTAAACCAACTGTGAATGATATACTACCTTACACACCTCCTCCATCACTTCCAATGAAGAAATTTACCCTGAGAGGTTAAGTAACATACTTAAGACTACAGACAGTGACTGAATGAGAATTCCAAACCCAGGTCTGTGACTCCAACACGGCATTTCTGCCAGGCCAGTGACTGCAATGTCAGTGGGAATGGTACTCTCATTAACTCTCAGTTAATGAGTGAGAAGTGTCCAAATTCAGAGAACACAGAAGACCAGACACAAATGCGTATTGTGTGTAGAGAATGAGTAGAGGGGACAGATAAATATACTGGTATTGTGACTGGATCCCTTCCCCAAAACTCACTGCCTCAGGTCTCAGTGTCTGGAAGATGAATACCTGGTATGATAGTTTGGCCCTCGTACCTGCTGCCGTAGCCCATCTCTGAATATCACCTCTACTGTGCTGACTCTAAATTTATGGTGAAACTACAAGCCAGTTTAAAATGGTGACATATATTAATGCAATGTCTTAAGTCTCTGAGATGTTGAGTAAGTCAAAGCAATTAAGAGATTTTCTAATTAAAGAAATTCAAGACTACAATGCCAGGAGCTAAACAAGCAAAAGACAATAGACTCAGGAAATTTCCCTAAAGCAGTCAAGTACCAGAAAAGATTTATTCTGAAAATATAATTATGGGAATGATAGAGAAAGAATGATGCCTATATATAATGGTGCACTTATAACCAAAACGAAGGAGAGGTGGCTTTCCCGAATATTTTGTTGAGCCCAAAAGGTAAAAACTCTACCAGAAATGAGTTAACTCCACCATAATAAACCTGCACCTAAAAACAGTAAATTATCCACAGCAGGAAGAGAAGTTCAGGCTCAGAACAAGATATCACAGAGAATCCAGCCCAGAAAATAATATACAGAAATATAGGGAAGAAAGAACAATAGCTTGGGAGAGTAGGAAAGGAGATAAAAAACAACTACAATGTAGCCACCCAATCAGAAGACAGTAAAATCTGAAAAGCTGGATATAAAAGCAATGATTTATCATGATCATGGGAGGGGACAAAGATGGGAAAAATACCTGGGAAACTGTAATATACCTGCTTTCTCTGAGCAAGTGGGCATTACCATCAAAAAAAGGTAAGAAATTTTCATGTTCAAAAGTAACAAAAAACTAAAAAGGAAAGATTCAACCATTACATTTCTACCCATGAAAATCCCAAGGAAAATCAAAGTGAATTACAAATTTTAGAAGAAAACTAAAAGGAGTAGCTTCACCCCTGCACCTAACTTCTTCCATATAACACTGTTTTATTTGCTGCATGTCCAGTTCTGAACATGAACCAATGAACTCCACACCTACCTGTGTGTCTCTAACATTCCCTCTGCCTCCAGCAGCACCACCTGTGAGTCTCACACCTTTCAGGACTCTGGACTCCCCCAGCCTTCCACTGCCATGGCCAACACCAGCACAGTGTTTTGTTGTGTTTTCTTTTGAACTGGAGGTGGTGAGTGCCTCGTCTGGCTCAGAACTTGAGTCCATAACAAAGATTCTCATTACCGAACTTTGTTCTCAGTGAGGGCAAGCAGTTCATCACTGCCAGACCATGACCAACCTCTTTATTGAGTTCAAAGCCCAAAGGCTGAGGGTTCAAATCAGAAGCACCCCGAGGCTCACGGCCCTGTCCGGCACAAACACAGGGGCAGCGCACCTGCTGTGGGCTCGTTTTGCTTCCTGGGCCCCGTGGTCTGTGTGGGGCTGGCTCGACCTGCTCCGTGACTGTTCTGGAAGCTGTGGCCTCCCTCAGGTGTGTTCTGTCAGCTCCCACTCACAGCACCTAACAGGTCAGATTTCTGTCGCTTTTCTCCTGTCTACCTCCTCCTTAGGCCTGGTCTTCTCTCCTGCAAAGCCTGCCCTCAGACTCGGGGAACCTGCTCTCACACGCTCTCCACTGCCTTCCATCGCCCTTTCCCACTGTGGCCTGGAGCAGTCATCAGCTTCAGTCACCTCTGTGCTGGCGTCTGGCACACAGTGGGCATCAGGTTCGTGGGCCAGGCACTATACAGGGCTGGCACTATACTGGGCTGGCCCTCATTCAATAAAAGCAGACAGAATGAGAGGAAGTGAAGGAAAATAGAAGGTGGGTTGGATAAAGGTTTGGTTTGTTGAAGTGGTCAGTTCAGGATGAAGAAAATGACAACTTAGTATTTTACCTGCTTCAATACTTGCTGAACAAAAAACTCACCTATAAAATTGCACCTACTTATTAAGACTAAATTCTGGTCAACAAGAAATGTTAAACCACTGGTTTTCACACAGGACACTTGATCCACTATGTACAGTTACAAAATTAATTGGAACAGTTCATGCTCGCCATGCACAGAAAGGCAGCCAGCCACAAGCATCAAAGAAAAACTGTAAAGCTAAAGACTGACAAATTTACGGGGTCACTACATGTACCATGGAAAAACATCAAACACCAAGAGAAAAGTTAAAGGGGAAACTTACAATTACCTGCTGGTCTGAAGGAATAAATTCAAGAGCTTTCTGGATAACACGGCAGCCATACATCTGCAGTGCCAATGACAGGACATGGCCTCGAATCCGTTCTGCCAAAGCCAGCTTCTGTTCAAGGCTGCCAAACTAGACATAACGTGAGGGCGGACGCCATTAATTAGGTGGAAGAAAGGAAGCCAGAGAAAGCAAAGCGTTCATTATTCTGTGTCAACCACTGGCATAACTTCTGTTAGCCCTGTCACCTATGAAGAACTAACCAAACCTTTTGTTTAAAAAACTTTGGCTTCTTCAAGCCAAGAGTTCTCAGCTTCTGATTATTAGTTCTGAGGGACTCTTTTTAATGTTGAAAATTTTCTCATTTTTGATATCCAACAGTAGTAATTTCACTATTAATAGCTACTAAACAACTTATATAATTTCTCAAACTGCCATTTGTTAATATTAATAAATATATATAATCTATTAATTATAAGAGCATTTACATTTAGTCTAAACATAACAATCAACATGAGTGAGACTATTTATTAAGGTTTTAGACAATGTCTACGGAAAACTCAAGGTCTTTCACAGCCCAGATGATCTACAGCACTCAGGTATCTACAGCCTGCAAGTTGAAAAGCTCTTCCATCTACATGAAGTTTAAGACAAAGAACATATAGACACTCTATTTTGAATTAAGTGTTCTATATCCAAGAACTGATACTGTCTAGTTATACAAGGCAACAGAGTAAGAGGTGGAGGGGGGAGTTAGCAGAACCAAGAGGTATGGCTATGTCAAAGTTATAACTCTTCCTAGAACGATTCTGCATCCCTGGCTTTTAATTTTCATTTGGATTGCATAATCATGAGAATGGAGGAGACTTTAAATAATCAGCTTGCCCAAAACACTCATTTGTCATACAAGAGAACTAAAGTCCAGGGACATTCTCTAGGCCAGGGAAGTTCTCTAGCTTGTCCTGAATCATACAGTTATAATCCATGGTTCATTCTGACACCCCTAGCTGCATTAACCTCTGGAGCTGGAGAGTTCTGTATTTTTATATCTGTGACAAAATGGTGGTAAAAAGATAAAAAATACAAGAGTTATGTTTAAGTTGATTTCTTAAGGTCTACTGCTAGAAAATTCAGTCAGAAAACTTAAGTCTTTATGAAAAAATTTGGGAAGACAAAGGCTGTGAGTGAGCCATTTTTTACTCTTCATACAAATCAAACAAATTAAGATACAAGAAACTTGGAAATTTCTTTTGTCTGGAGGCAGGTGATATGAGAAGCTCCAGCATTTTCCTGCTATACCAGATTCTTCATCCCAATGATTCATTCCCTTCTGGCTTTATAACTTGGGGTTGCTGACACCAGTGTACCAGGGCTACAACAGTAGGCAAAAAAAAAAACCCTACCTACTTTTGGTTTAGTAGGGAAAACAAGACATTAATCCAACAATCTCAATAATCCTTTCCAAAGATGATGATGAGTGGACATTATTCACATCAACAGAGTAAAATAAGGAACAAAGGCTGAAGGATCACCCAAGAAGAAGCATTTAACAATCCTCACAGCTATAGTTTATCATGAAAAATACTAGAGATGATGTTCAAAAATAATTCTCTAGGAATCCTAAAAACAAAAATTCTTTTTTTCAGAACACTTCATTGTATCCTGCTAAAATTATCTCACAAGGATTATTTCCTCCAGAACTGACATGTTTGGTGAAACTATTGTAACAATCAGAAATAATGGGATGAATCCTAAACGGGGACAATGGTTCTCCAAACACATTTCTAAAACAGACGCATCATTTGCTTGGGCATTTATTTAAACAATGCATTGCTGCTAAAGACTTGGTGAAGCATTCAAAAGCTCTTCAGGATGACCATATACATTTCATTTTGAGGACTGGCATAGGACAGCAATTCTAAAAAATAGCTAATGAAAATCAAAATGCTGTGGAGATTCTCTAGTCAAAGGATAGAAAGAACAAAGACTTACTTCAAAGAACTTCTGAATGACATAATTTCCAAATACATCAACCATTAGCTGATAAGCGGCCTGGAGGATTTCGTTGAAAACAAGCTGGCGCTCAGCTGGTGTGGCCCGCTCTAATTTCAGCTGAATGAATCTGAAGTACAAAGTAAAAAGGGCAATCACAGCATTTTAAGACACTTGCAAATAAATAAGGATTAGCTCAATTTATATAATGTTATCAGTTCTGAAACTAAAGGTATATATGTGCAGGTGTATACACACAAATACAAATAGTGTGATTTAAATGAATTACTTGGCTCACTTAATTGAAGAATTTCTGAAAAGGGAAAAAAACTATATTGCAAAGTACCCCCTAACTTACCTGAGCTTTCAGAAGAATATTTATATGGTAGTGTATTTCATTACAGCAGGACATAACACACAAATTGTATTTATGTGAGGTGTTGAGAGGGAGGTGAAAAGTGGGGTAGGAAAAGAGGAGGAAATGAAGACAGGCACAGGGCGAACTCTGACTTTTTCCTTGAGAAACCAGTTCCACGTCAATGAACTCGGAGCTATGGTCCTTGCTGTGTGCTTTAAGTCAGACTGATGCACAGCAGTATTCACTAATGATGTGGAGTAGTTGCTGTACATGTCTGCACTGTCTTCTGAAGCAGTAGCTACTCAGTTTGCTATTTGTTTTTAGTTCAGGTGACTGTTACTGAAAAATCATGCTCACTCTCAATTTGATCTATAGGATCCAAATATGAGAAATCCTTGCCCAGTTAGCAAGCTAGCAGAACTTAGGGGTGTTAAGTTCTTCAGAAGCTGTTTCAGTGGGCAAAGTGAGAGAAAAAGAAAGAGACAAATCAGAAAGAAGGGGTCACCATAATTATGCTTCTCCCCCAGGACAAGGGTCCCTTTCTGTGAAGCCACTGGCACAGCCAAACAGGGAGGGGTAGCCTAAGATAAACTGTGTTCTGTAATAGCTTCTTCTCTGTCACCTCTACACAGACTTTCCTCTCTAGAGTGGAACAACAAAGAAAAGTGCTGGAATATCTTATTCCTGAATATCAGAGAACCAAACTTATATTTGAATAATGTCTCTTGAGAATAAGATTCTTAATAGTGACTAAAGTAGCAAGTATGTGCATATCTTTGTGTGTTTCTGTTTCTTAAACTGTAGACATTCTGTGAAGTTCTCATGAACTAGTACCATCAGGGTAATCTTTCAGAAAGGTATAAAGGTTTGTTTTAATCATATGATCCAGATTACTAAATGGCTCTTTTCAATCACTTTTATATCTGGTGTCCCTCAAATCCATGTCCCTCTGAAATAAATAAGGATATAAGAGGCAAACTTCGTCTAATTATTGTATGGCAACTTAGTGTATACCTTATCTGAAGCACAGGACTTAAAGCACTGAGACTTCAGTTACCTTAACTGCCCAAGCCAAGTCCTCACCTGGACCCATGCTGGTCTTGGGAAAATTCCATTATATGCCCAGCAATCTCCCGCAGTTGTAAATTGGGGTACCGGTTATTTCGAAAATCTTCTAAAAGCCTGCTCCTGCCAGAGGGCATGACATCAGACATTCCATATCGCAAACGAGAGGAAGAAAAGAGGGTGCTGCTGGGGCTGAAGAGGCTGGAGGCACTACTCGCACTTCGGTACTTGGCTTCAGCGCCTGGAGCAGCAGAGATGTATCTTCCACTGCCATTCGTGAGTCCTCCTGTTGGTTATAGAACAGGAGAACTCAAGACTCATTCTTAAGCCACTTTGTTCAAGAGAGGAAAAAGCATCCCACACATGAAAGCCTGCATCACTTCTGATTTCAGTTCTGTTGCTTTTGTGTTAAAATTCAACTCTATTAGTGCCACAACTTTCATTAAGACCAACTTACCAAGCTGGAAGGAAACTTTTGCACAAAGTTTTAGTGGAGAATGCTTTTAACCACTGACAGGAACAATGGAGCAATAATTGGGAGAGCCCTTGGTAAGTAAAGTGATGTGGAAAGTGCCTGCTGTGTGAACCAGCACCTGAGCACCAGGAATCAGAAAACACAAAATGCACAGACTTCAGTAATTTCCCACTCTGAGCTCTGTGGCAATTCCTGTCATTAGTGAATAAACCTCCCACTCACATATGAAACTCTTCCCCAAATCACACCCCTCCCAAAAAAAATCAGGGTACCTGGATTAGTCTATTTCATATAGGGAGACCCCCAAAAAGCTTTGAGGGAATGGTTTTCCACTAAATAAAAATCTGAAAATCACTAAGCACCCCAAAATCACTGAGGATTAAACATAAGGGGTTAAAAAAAAAGGACATATGCTTTGAAATGGAAGGTTTCAAGCTCTTTATCAGGAATGGGCAGCTCGTTATTAACACCTTCTACGGGGACAAAGCCTGAAAAGACTGCAGCAGCTTAGCTGCAACCTGCATGCCACTGATACTGCTGTTTTGACTGATGACAAGGGAATAATTGTGAATCACTAAAGAACAGATGAAATAAAGGTAAGACAAAAAGGCTTATCAAAATGTAAAGTAGAGTAACAAATTTTAATGTACATATTTTTAATATTCTTTGTTTATAATGACGGATTTTTTAAACTTTAAATCGCACTATAAAAAGGATGTGAAGTCTTTGTGTCCCCCCTACTCCTGTTAAACAAAAAAGCAAAGTATGTAACAAAGATCACATAAACCGCAAAGAGTATAGATGAGTAATAATTCATGAGAAAAGTCACCCAACACAAACTGTTCATAGACGTCTTCATGAGTTTTAATACATGTCTGGTTTGAACCAAGTTTAATTAATGGTAGCTACAAAAAGATATCCAGCTTGGATTTCTCCAGAGATTTCTAGGGCCCATCTTCAAAGGTCTGGATCTCAGTGACACTGATGGAACCAAAAATGGCTCAAAGTTAAAACCTGCAAAACATTTACCAAGCATTTGTTCTATACCAGGATCTGTGCTAGAAGTATTTCATATATACTTCCTATTGAATTCTCACTGGAATTTCAGAAAAGTAGTTTTTAACGTCCATTTATGTAACAGAGAATTAAGGCCCAAAGAGGTGAAATGCTCATCTAAAGATATAAAACCCAAGATTACCAAGGCCAGAATCTGTCACAGGACTCTAACTCCAGAGACAGTGTCCCTGCAACGATAACTACATGAGACTCGTTTTCATACTCAGTAATATCAAGCTTTCGTGTTTTAAAGGACAGCTATTCTTGTCAAATTCTACAATATTTCTAATCCAAATGATAAACATTTCTTTAAAGAAGGGATGAGAGGAAGGTTATTAAGAGAACTGTGAGAATATATTCATAAATGACAGATCCAATAAAGGGTTGACATCCAAAATATATAAAGAGCTCACACACCTCAACAAACAAAAAGCAAATAATCCAATAAAAAAATGGACATAGGAATCACAGAGAAGGCACACAGTGGACCTCTGGCATCTTGCTGCACTGATGGACAGTGACTGCATTGGGGTATGGGTGGGGACTTGATAATATCAGTAAATATAGTAACCACATTGTTTTTTCATGTGAAACCTTCATAAGAGTGTATGTACATCAATCATGCCTTAATAAAAAATTAAAAAAATAAAAATGGGCACAGGATCTGAAGAGACACTTCTCCAAAGAAGAAATTCAGATGGCCAACAGACACATGAAAAGATGCTCCACATCGCTAATCATCAGGGAAATGCAAATTAAAACCATGAGATATCACCTCACACCAGTAAGGATGGCCAACACCCAAAACACAAAAAACAACAAATGTTGGCGATGATGTGGAGAAAGGAGAACCCTCCTACACTGTTGGTGGGAATGTAAATTAGCTCAACCATTGTGGAAAGCAGTATGGAGGTTCCTCAAAAAACTCAAAATAGAAATACCATTTGACCCAGGAATTCCACTCTTAGGAATTTACCCTAAGAATGCAGCAGTCCAGTTTGAAAAAGACATATGCACCCCTATGTTTATCACAGCACTATTTACAATAGTCAAGAAATGGAAACAACCTAAGTGTCCATCAGTAGATGAATGGATAAAGAAGATATGGTACATATACACAATGGAATATTATTCAGCCATAAGAAGAAAATAAATCCTACCATTTGCAACAACATGGATGGCACTAGACAGTATTATGCTTAGTAAATTAAGCCTGGCGGAGAAAGACAAGTATCAAATGATTTCACCCATCTGTGGAATATAACAAGAAAGAAAAAACTGAAGGAACAAAACAGCAGCAGACTCACAGAACCCAAGAATGGACTAACAGTTACCAAAGGGAAAGGGACTGGGAAGGATGGGTGGGAAGGGAGGGATAAGGGGGAAAATGGGGCATTACGAATAGTACACATAATGTAGGGGGGTGAGGACATGGGGAGGGTGGTATATACAGAGAGGACAAGTAATGATTCTACAGCATCTTACTATGCTGATGGACAGTGACTGTAATAGGGTATATGGGGGGGACTTGATAATAGGGGGGGTCCAGTAACCATAATGTTGTTCAAGTAACTGTACATTAACCATATCAAAATAAATTAAAAAAAAGAAAGAAAAGAGAGAACAGTAGCCATACGGCTGTTCTTTGTTCCATTTCAGAAATAATTCTTTCTTCTCTGACTTGAGACTGGGGGAAGTGGGCAAAGAAGTAGTAGCCAACTAAAATCAGCAGGTACTGGGAGAGTGTGGTAATAGCAAGGAACATGCTTAAGAAGAAAGGATGGTATAAACACACAAAGTTTTAAAAAACAAGTTAACCTAAAATTCATATGGAACCACAAAAGACCCCAAATAGCCAGAGCAATCCTGAGAAGGAGGAATAAAGCTGGGGGGATTACGCTCCCCAACTTCAAGTTCTACTACAAAGCCACAGTAATCAAGACAATTTGGTACTGGTACAAGAACAGAACCACAGACCAATGGAACAGACCAGAGAGCCCTGATATAAACCCAACCATATATGGTCAATTAATATATGATAAAGGAGCCACAGACATACAATGGGGAAATGACAGCCTCTTCAACAGCTGGTGTTGGCAAAACTGGACAGCTACATGTCAGAGAATGAAACTGGATCATTGTCTAACCCCATACACAAAAGTAAATTTGAAATGGATCAAAGACCTGAATGTAAGTCATGAAACCATAAAACTCTTAGAAGACAACATAGGCAAAAATCTCCTGAATATAAACATGAGCAACTTCTTCCTGAATGCATCTCCTTGGACAAGGGAAACAAAAGTGAAAATGAACACATGGACTATATCAAGCTAAAAAGCTTCTGTACAGCAGAACAAAAAGGCATCCTACAGTATGGGAGAATATATTTATAAACGACATATACGACAAGGAGTTAACATCCAAAATATATAAAGAACTCACAGGCCTCAACACCCAAAAAGCAAATAACCTGATTAACAAATGGGTGGAGGATATAAAGAGACAATTCTCCAAAGAAGAAATTCAGATGGCCAACAGACACATGAAAAGATGCTCCACATCACTAATCATGAGGGAAAAGCAAATTAAAACCACAATGAGATATCACCTCACACCAGTCAGTCTTTTTGATGGTGGCCATCCTAAGAACAAATGCTGGCAAGGATGTGGAGAAAGGGGAACCCTCTTACTCTGCTGGTGGGAATGTAAGCTAGTTCAACCATTGTGGAAAACAGTATGGAGGTTCCTCAAAAAACTCAAAATAGAAATACCATCTGACCCGGGAATCCCACTCCTTGGGATTTACCCAAAGAATACAACTTCTCAGATTCAAAAAGACATAAGCACCTCTATGTTTATCACAGCACTATTTACAATAGCCAAGAAATGGAAGCAACCTAAGTGTCCATCAGTAGATGAATGGATAAAGAAGAAGTGGTACATATACACAATGGAATATTACTCAGCCATAAGAAGAAAACAAATCCTACCATTTACAACAACATGGATGGAGCTAGAGGGTATAATGCTCAGTGAAATAAGCCAGGCGGAGAAACACATGTGCCAAATGATTTCCCTCATCTGTGGAGTATAACAACAAAGCAAAGCTGAAGGAACAAACCAGCAGCAGACTCACAGACTCCAAGAAGGGACCGGTGGTTACCAAAGGGGAGGGGTGAGGGAGGGCAGGTGCGGAGGGAGGGAGAAGGGGATTGAAGGATATTATGATTGGCACACATGGTTGGGGGGGGGGTGTGCATGGGGAAGACAGCATAGCACACAGAAGGCAAATAGTGAATCTGTGGCATCTTACTACACTGATGGACACTGACTGCAATGAGGTATGGGTGGGGACTTGATAATATGGTAAATGTAGTGAACCACATTGTTTTTTCATGTAAGACCTTCATAAGAGTGTGCATCAATAATACCTTAATAAAAATTAAAAACAAAAACAAAAAACCAAAAAAACAAGTTAGAGGCTATTTAAGAACCTGATCACTAACAAAGCCACTTAGGGAAAAGTAAGAAATCAACAGAGAAAAAGAGCCAAACTCCTAAGAGGCCTGACAAACATCCACATTAACATGGAAGGTAGTCAGGTCCTTAGTGACAAGGGTGAATAACAGGAACTAACTCTGAACACTACTCTACCTCTATATTTTCAGTTAAATAAGCCAATAAATTAACTTAGTACAAATGTCATTGAGATAGCTCAGATGATGGTTAGCACTTTTTAGCAATAAATATTTTTA